ATATATATATATATATATATATATATATATATATATATATATATATATATATATATATATATGGTTGCTGGGCTTGCTTAAGGCTGCTGGGTGTGGTCCTGGCCCTCTACACAGTGGAGGCGCGTATCTGCTGTGCATGCTGCTGTGGGTGAAAGGAGAAGAAAAGCAGCTGGCGTGAGGGGGCGTTCAGGGGCTCTGAGCTTCACTGGGCCTGAAACACAGCGGAGCTCTTGCTGGGGTCTTCTGGGTCCATGAATCCTTAGAGCGAGTGTCACCACATGAAGAAATGCAAAATATTCAAGTTTTTTTTTTTTTGTATTAAAGTGAAATTTAGGTATTTATATATTATTTAAAATAAAATTAACATAAAATATCAATAGTTTTATGCTTTGCTGCAGGGGAATCAATCGCCAGAGTCGCTGCTTTCCGCCACCTTCTTGCAAATGAAGGCGATGCTGAATTTGTCGTTTCAGAACAAACGCGACGAGATAGGCCGCGCAGCGGATGTCAGGGACGGCACAGCTCGCCTGGACAAGTCACTGGTATAAATTTTCCTAAACCCCAAACCCTAAACCCTAAACCCTAAACCCTACTTTGTAGGACGCCCCCTCACACCGCAGCCTTGGACGCTAAGCCCTACACCCTAGGCCGACTCTCACCTGTCACCGCAGCAGCAAGGATGATATGTTGTGTTTTTTTCTGTTGAGTGGAGTTTGGATCAGAAAATCCAGCAGGGCCCCGCGAGCACCTCCATTGTGAGTTAGTTGTACTTTGGGGTGTCTACTGAATATGGTTGATTTCTGTTTCTCTTGATGGGCATTCAGGCAGACGAGAGAGCCGCAGCAGATGTCGTCGAGCTGCTGCAGCGGCTGAACTTGTGCGAGGATTTGGCCGAGCAGCGCATGCGGGCGAAGGAGTGGGTGGTTGAGCTCAGAGACCGGCTGCACCAGGAGGGCAGAGGGCAGGCGATCTCGGGGGCCCTGGAGAGGGCTGAGAAGTCGCTAGCTAGAGGGTAGGGGGCTCACTTTATTCTGCATGCATACAGAGTATCTACACGGATACTTGTACATGAATTAGATAGACTCTGTGGCCCGCCTGCTTACAAAGATAGCATATATCAGCCGCCCGCTTTGCCGCCGTCTCCTTCGCTCCGTGCAGCCCGATGTAATGTTGCTATCTGAGGATACAGAAACACTTCTTTCATTGTTTCTCCCTTTTGGCTGCCTCTATAAGGGTTTAGGGTTTAGGGTTTAGGATTTAGGGTTTAGGTCTTGCTAGTCATTCCGCTTTTATGTTTCTTAATGCCGATCGCTCTGAGAGACACAAAACCCTTTGCCTTCTCTGGTTCCCGTTGGCTGAGCTGCTGCGTTCTTTTTTGTTTGTGTCTACGGCCAGAGATGACTTAGCTGAAATCTTCGCGAAGCTGAAAAACACCACGGAGCGACTCTCCCAAGACTACAAGAAACGCACCCGCGAGCTGCAGGCTCAGGTGGGCTGTCTTGGCTTGGTTGAGCCCCTGGCAGCAGACACTGGCGCGGGGGGACTCAGCTGCAGCACGGGTGGCAAAGGGTGCGCAGCATCCACTGCTGCAGCAGCAGCAGCTGCTGCTGCTGCTCCAGCTGTTCTTCATGCTGCTGCTGGCTGTGTGCCTTTGCCTGCGCCTTCAGATTAAACGCTCAGAGGAAGCCCGGCGGGACGCCGAGGAGCGGAACGCGCAGCTGCAGCAGCATATCATGGCTCTTAACAACAGCTCTCAGCAGCAGGCTTCCCGCGTTGCCAGAATGGAGGTCGAGCTCCGTCGCATGCATGCAATTTCACTCAGGCATTTCGTCGAGAAGGAAAGAGTAGCATCGGCGAGGAGCCTTCA